GCCAATTTAGATATTGCTTCATTGCCACTTTAGATATTGATCCCTTCAATACCGTTTATTGATACAAACAGAAGTCATGGAAAGAAACAACCAGCCCAGAGCACATCCTCCCCAGCAACTGATACCCAGATAAGCAGGAAACAGCCCCAGATAAGCAATCAGGAAAAAAGAGCGTCCTAATCAAGTAACTATCAAAGAAGAAACCATCCCCCAATAGCCAAGACTGATAGGGCAAGGTATATCTAAACAGCCAGCAAACCCCACTCTCCCTCGCACTGATGATGCTACCTAGCCTGGTAATGAAACATCTGCAGGAAAACACCAAGCTCAGAGACTACCAAGAGCCCAACAGGGACTTTGGTTTCTTGAAAGGCTTGGCTGAACTGTTTTCTCATGAAGGTTGGTTTTCGTGGTGATAATTCTGCAGTTTCCCCTGGATTCATGGCTACAACTTGGGATGGGTAGGTGGAGGCCATGAGTAGGGGGCCCTTTGCTGTGGCCAGTGGGGCATTTGGGGCTCTAGTTGCAGACATACAGTACCTGGAGCAGGAGGACCTCATGTCAGTAACTCCTACCCTCATTTTTATGGGTCAGGACTACCATAAAGGGCTCTTTGTGGGGTTGTTTCTGAAGACCACACAGAAGCTATAAGTGGTCCAGAATGCAGCACTCTGTTTTTAGCTGGTGGATCCTAGCAGCAGCACATTGTACAGCTGGTCTGGGACCTTCCCTGGCTTCCTATTGGCTTCTGAGTGGAACTCCAAGGGCTTATTTTGACTTGTAAAACCCTTAATGGCTTGACATCAAAGTACCTGAACAACTGACCTCTCCAGCCTAATTCAATCCACCCCAAAAACAAACCAAATAAAAGAAGAACCTCTGAAGTAGTTTGCTGGCAATTTTGCATAGTTGACAAAAAGCTAGCCTGCCTGTCACATAAAAGTTACATTGTCATAGGGCTCAACTATAGTGAGATAATCTGCTTATTCTGTTTGTTCCCCATTTATGTAATAGTTTTGTCATATTAAAAATAATCATTCATCGGTAACTTTTGAAGGGATCCAGATTTGATCTAGATTTTTTGCAGATTTCCTTCCATCCAGTCCTATACAAAAATGTCAGTTAATCCTTTTAATCCAATTGGAGTTCATTGTAAGGTTACCAATGTTAAAAAAGGGGGTCAGATTTGCATATTAATTTGCATATAATTCTTAATTATTTGGCTCCAACAATCGTTAGTTCTCTGCATTCATCATTGCTCCATCTCTCAATTTTTGTGCCTTCTTTTCTGCTCTTTTCAATAGCTGAGTTACCAATCACTCTGAGCCATAATGACAAGCTTTGCATGACCTGCTAGGCTAGGCAAAATGAAGATAGGTAGTTTGGGATTCAGCATGTTGTAGGAACTCAGGCATTGTCTTAGTGTGTTGTATAAATCAGATTTATTTATTTGGGTATTATATGTTATGACAGTGTTGCAGTTGTGATTTAAAAGTTCTTGTTAAGGGTTGAGCATACTATGCGAACCCATTAAATGTAGCTTGTTCAATTTTTGCTTAGCACGTATGTGTGAACACAGCCAATTATAGTTCATTCAATAAATTGTAAACCATGATTTACCACAATATAGCAACCAGACCAACATGTCCTATATTGGATTTCAAACTCATTGGAGCAGGCACCTTATAAAAGCCACATACATGGATAGACAAATGGGGTGGGGGGGGGACATGTTTCATAATCCTATTTCTGCTGATCCTCATTCATAGAATGTATCCTCTTGCCATAGATCGTCCTGTAAGGATCATACACTCCAGTGACGAGGAGACCCAAGCCTACCAGGTTGCAGAACGTGTGGTGTTATCCTGTGAGCTTTCTCATCCTGATGCTCCAGTACATTGGTACAAGGATGGAGAAGAGGTGGAGGAAAGCGAGAGGCTCCTGCTGGAGAGTGAGGGCCCCCATCGTCGGCTGGTCATTCCTTTGGCTCAAGTTCAAGATTCAGGGGAGTTTGTGTGTGATGCAGGCGGCGATTCTGCATTCTTCAACATCACTGTCACAGGCAAGAGGATTACTTTATCTTACTAGGCAAAGGCCATCTTCCCAAACCGTGTACTTTCACCTCTTCCCCTGCCAAGTGTCTTCTAGGTGGATTGGATTACAGCTCTTAGAACTTCCATATAGCAGAAACAAAGTTTGTGGTTGGCTGAGAGTTATGGGAATTAAAGTCTAGTACATCTAGAATGCACTGTGTAATGTGAGCTGCTGCACACCGAGTTATTTTAAAGGCTATATGGGTGTATTTTGGTCTGAAGGAGACTTGAATTGGTCCCTGACCCACTTATACTGTGCCGTGTTTCTGATGAATGATGAAACAGAAGCACATAGGAACTTTATGATCAGCGTAGCAGTTGTGCTTTCCATGTTCAGTTCTTAGCTTCAGGTAATTGGTGGTCACTCAGAGATACAATGACTGGGAATGTAGGACTTGCACAGTAAGCTATTCTGCATAGTAAGGCAGTCTATCTTCTACTGGTTATCTAATCCTTCTACAAGACTGTTTATGTTAAATGCCCGGCCGTCACAACAACCCTTGTCAGTGAATATCATAAACTGATTATGCCTTGTGAAAAGCAATTCTTCCTTTTGTTTTTCTTAAGTCTCCTGCTTTCTATTGGCTTCAGAGGATGATCCTCAATTTTTATGTTATGGGAAGGAGTGAATATTTTCTCTAATATTTTCCTTCCTTTTTGCTTCACACAAAATAGCTTTCAGAACACATGCATTTCCCATGGTGCACCAACTCCTCTTTCCTCCTGGGTTTTGGTCTGTGCTTTTTCACTCGGGATTGCAAGCAGGTACCCTCCGGATGTTTTGGACTACTATTCCCATGAATCTTTACCAATATGGCCAGTGGTCAGGAATGTGGGAATTGCTTTTAAAAAACATCTGGAGGGCACTGGATGGTCTTCCACCCGTGGGAGCCCTTTTCGTTACAGGCCTCATCCCTACACCTCGAGTGTGCAGGTATACAGCTGTTCTCCTGAAACTCCTTCTGGTTTCTCTGTCTCCTACGCTCCTGCAGAACCCCCTGTGCAAATTGTGCGGTCCAACGCTGAAGCACTTCATGCTTATCAGGCTTCTGACCGCGTGGTGCTGACCTGCGAGCTGTCCTGCCCCAACGCCCCTGTCCACTGGTACAAAGATGGGGAGGAATTAGAAGAAGGTGAAGGCTTGCTGTTTGAAAGCGAAGGGCCCCACCGACGACTCATCCTTCCCTTAGCGCAGGTGCAAGATACTGGCGAGTTTGTGTGCGATGTGGGTGATGACTCTGCCTTCTTCAACATTACAGTTGCAGGTCAGTAATGTGCCATGAGTCTTCCTTTAGGCCCATTACAATAAATTAAATATATTTGCTTTGAGTCACGCTGGAAGTTTGGTTCTGACTTGTCATTCAGAGGAAACAATTCTGAGCTAAATACTCTGAACTGGTATAACTCTGTTCAGTGTTAGGGATCAGGCAGGTATTTGGCTCTCCCAATCTACATTGTGCCCATTTTCTTCCTCATCGATAAGTGTCAGAGTATCATTTGCTTTGTGGCCAGAATAATTTCAGCTTTCCTGGGTTACACCCCGCAAAAAGAAGATTTTTTTTCTCACAAAGGAGGATGAGAAACAGCCTTATGACATCTAGCTTGGTTTTCCCTACACTGAGGAGGTGGCTTTCCATAGGAGCCTTTCCCAGCCATGGCCTTATATGGTAGAGATTGAACTTGGATCTTTGGCATGCAGTGTAGGTAGCCATTCAGCCAGGAAGCTACATTAGGAAGAGTTTTGGGGAGGGGGGCGCAATCTGAAAATCTAATAAATTTATCACTGAAAAAGCTTTTGTGGATCACAGTCCATCAGAGGCAAAGATGCTGAGATTAGAACATTACAGTCAGTCTGCATTTAGCGATCATTCACAGTTACGACAGTGATGAAAAAGTAACTTTAAGACCAACTGTTTTTATGGTTTGATTGTATGCTACCCAGAGTCATGCTTCGTGAGATTGGTGGCCATATAAATATGATACATAAACAAACAAATAAATTCTTGCATTTAAGACTTTCACAGGTCTGTAAAGCAAAGGAAAGCTGAAGTAAGACCACTTCACTTAACAACCAAGTTGTGGGTCCCAATTGTGGTCACTAAACAAAGACTACCTGTATTTAACCACACAGCTTTTTTTTTATGTGTGGGGGGGAGAGGCAAAATAATTAAACATTCTCATGCTGCTGAAAGTGGTGGATGAAAAGTGCTGCAGCAACAACAAAAGGGTTAGATTCAGATTTCTATTAATTATGTCTTGAAAGGAGGGGAGAGCAACAGGAACAGCAAGGGCCAAGGGTATTAATAGAAAGAATTAAACAGTCCAAGGAGAAGTTCTGAGGCTAGAGAGACAGTTGCTTACACAGCCCCATTAAGAGTCCTGAAATAATGTTTTGATGTTTGCACTTAATGGTGCTAAATAACAGCTTCCCCCACCTCACTTCCCTCTCCTATTTCTCCCTTACTTCATACTGCCTGACACGATGCCATTTCCTTCTGCAATGAAATCCTGTTCTCAGGAATATGTATTTAAAAAGCAACTATTTTTAAATACAGAACCTGTTTGCTGTAATTGGATATTCTTAGCAAGGATGGCAATTCTATCTTGGGAAGCCATGAATGAAAATTCTTATATTCTCTGTTCCCTGCAAAGAATGACTCACTATCTTTGAACAGTGTTGAAAGGTAGAAATTCAACGGGGGAAGCTTTTCCAGAGAGGCAGAAAAGTATGCATGGTGAATGTCTGCCTTTCCCTAAGTAGGAAAGTGTTGCAGTCCTGCCAGGAGAAAAAAAGTTGGTCTCTTGGCAGCCTGGCTGGTGTAGTGAGTAAGAAAGATGACCTTGACAGAGAAATGCAGGCGCCGTTACCTAGGCAAAAGGGGCTAAAACATTTTTTAAGTCCAGAGTAACCAGATAACATTTGGAAGCAGCTCAGACAAAGACCTCCCTAATTCAGTGAACTATAAGAGGGAGGGAGGAAGTACAGCCCAATCAGAGTTGCAAGATTCTGTAGTTACAGCCAATTGCAGTTAAAGTAGTTTTAGTCTTCCTGGGGAGTTAATTTCCTGGCCTCATCTCCCTAGTGCATCTGACAGCTGGGTAGATTGCAGAGTCCCAGTCTCCACTGAGGATTGCATTTATATCCTCCTGTGTTTTGGCATGCTCAAGATGGTGGACATGAGGGTTTCCCCTAATTCTTTCTCTGTAACAGCAACCTAGTGAGGTGGGTTGAAGTAAAAGAGATGGCCTAACCCAAAGCCATCCAGGGAGCTCACTGGCTGAGTAGAGACTTGAATCTGCATCTCCCCCATTCAAAACCTTAATAACTGCATGACACTGTCATGAAAAGAAACTGTATGATAATTATCAGAGTGGTACAAGCACTCTTGGCTCCCCTTCTGGGGCTCCTGGTTCCCTTGTAACTTGCTTAGGTTGTCTCTGCCTTTTGCCACTTCTGGACCCACGTATACGTTCCTTTGCATGTGCACGCGTGGTTCTTGTAAGACCAATAACCTTAAGAAATGGATGCCTAAACATGCTTCTTTCCTGTTCCATCCATTTTTCCTCTGTGTGTCACGATTATAAGCAGGGCGAGCATAGTCCTGAGCTTGTAGACTGTTCTGACAGACCTTCTAGCTAGAGCAGAATAAAAATGCTTTCAATAAAATAATAGTTTTATTTTTGTCAATATTTCTGAATTTTTTTTGATCCTCTCATGAGTCGTCCAAGAGTTTGAGAGACAGCTGGAGATATTTACATGATATTTCCTGAGAAATTTAAACAAAAGGACAACGTGTAATTGAATATGTACTGAAAGACAAAGAGATATTCATGAGAAAACAAAATTAAGAAACATGAAAATAGCCGAAAGGAATACAGTTTGTATATATTGTATTTCTTGCCATATCTGTATGACCTCAGAGTGACTGCAGACTTTTTGACCAAGAACCTGACCTTCCACCGTCTCACTATAACATTAGATTAATGCACAATATGGGCCTTGTGCCATTCTCCACGCTTATGTTACATGCAAGGGCCCGGCTGAGGCTTTCTGGTGACGATGGGGGCAGTGGGGTAGTGCAGCTTCTCCACCAGAGCTCACTCTGTGGACATGGGCCTTCAGAGACCTGCACCAGCTCCCCATTTCCATTATGGGATGGCAGCTTCACTCCCAAGGCTGTTAACAAGGAAGAGCTCAGGTCACCATGCTTGAATCTCCTTAATTCCCTGAGGGTCAAAGCAATGGAGATGTTTCTCTCTGCTCCAGGGTTTCTCAATCTTGGCAACTTTAAGACGTGTGGACTTCAACTCCAGAATTGCTGGGGGGGGGGAATTCTGGGAGTTGAAGTCCACACGTCTTAAAGATGCCAAGGTTGAGAAACCCTGCTCTACTCATTCAACGCCTCCCCCCCCATCATTACAAAGGTGCATTTTCTCTTAAATCTTCCCTCCACCCCCTCCCTGGGTCTATCAAGTTGTGTGGGGATCCCTGACCTTTCAAGCTTAGAGGGCTGAATAGAATGGGAAGCGGGTGGGAAGATTTGGGTAAAGGTCATATCCTCGAAGGTGCACATCCTCTGGCGCTGAAAGAATAAAAACAAAACCCCAATGTTTTCTTCATCTGAGGTCTCTAGTTCCTATGTCTGAGCAATTGTGCCTGGATTCAGTTTCCGATTTTCCAGTAGCATGAAAGAAGCCCAAGTCTCAGTTGCGGGGAATTGGGAGATCCCTTATTTCCCCTCAGCGAGCTGCTTGCTCTCCAGGGCCCTCTCTGCTCTTTTGCGGTCTAGTATATCTAAGCACAACTTACAGGCAACAGTGACCTATTAATGAACTTGCCCAGTTTTGTGACAATGCAGTATTAAGGTATTTACTGAGCTGGCTCAAATCTAAATAAAACTACTCAGCCTGAAGATATATATAAAAATAAGTGCTGGAGACCGCAGCAGGCATTCTTTGCAATGAACAAATTGTTAGTACAGCTCCGGCTTTAGTTTATTGCAAAGAAGAAAGATAAATTCTGAATATGTTTATGCAGATGCAAAAAAGGAACCCCTAGAAGTAATTGGTTTCCAGCAAGGATCCACCGAAGGGAAAAACCTCAGGGAAGAAGGAGTTTAGATCCTTATGTATTCTGGGGAGGCAAATGTCTGGCCACCCAGCTGATCTCTGGGAGGCACTTGCCTGGTTGCCTATTAAAAAGCTGGAGAGGGACACAGAAAGGAGATTTAAAACCCTGGAAAATAATCAGACATTGCGTTTACTTCCTATGGGAATCCATTACTTCCAAAGCTCTCAATTGAGACTGAGGATGTTCTGGAAACATCAATAGGAGCAGTGGGAATTGTTGATTGATGATGTCTTTATCTCCCAACACAAACTTTGTGTGGCCTGTGGTTTTTCACAACTATCCACCTTATATTCGCAGACGTCTCTCTCTCTCAAATTTATAATGAACATATCTTGAAAAACTTATAGCCATAATAAAAGATGAAAGCAATATAAAAACTAATGATAAAATAAGTCTTCTCCTAGTGGGCATTCATAGAGAGGAGAATTACAACATACCTAAAAGTGACTGTAGCCAGGTCTAAATTGAATTACCTTTTGCATACTTCTCTGAATAGCAATTTTTTATTCAATACCTATTTGATTACATATTGTGTTTTCATTTTAACTTCTCAGTAAAGTTAATTTACACTTCTTTGGATGTCTGTCAGATTCATGAGTTCTCCAATAAGCTCCTCATGGAGAAACTGAGTTTAGCTTTGGATCTTTTCCAAGATACAATTCACAGAAAACTCTTGGTCCAACATTATAAATGGCTGTAATATGAGATACATCCCACTCAACTGTTCTTCTAGCATAAGCTGAACTCATTGAGAAGGAGAAAGGGAGAAGGAAGATGGAGGTAACAAGCTTTTGGAGCAAGTTTTATTTGCCTATTATTCATTAGCATCCAGTTGGCAACAAGAGATATCAAGCAAACTGCATTGAGGCCAGAACACCTTAGAGAGAGCATCACTCACTGTGTGTTCACTGCTGGGATTTTGTTCTGAAATCTGAGGACTAGAAAGATAATGCATTCATAAACATGGGCAAAGAATGTTAATGAATATATTAAACTCACTGGTGCAGAATTCAGATGCGCAGATCAGATAAGCTCGAGTCCAGCACTTCTCTTTTCAGAAACAACTTTTTTTTTTTTTTTGCAAGAAGGATAGATAATCTGTGCCCTTCATGGCCCAGTCAGCATGACCAATGATCAGAGTAATGGGAGTCATAGTTCAGCAATACGTGAAGGTCCCCATTCTTGCTATTTAATGTTGGAGCACCTTTAACAATGAAGTTCCATTTATTCATAGCATGCTTTTGCTTAAAAAACACCTTGAGAGGATGTGTTCTAATTCACTCGGCCATCAGAGAACAAAGATTCTTCACCCATTCACAGTGTATCTCTTTAGCTCCCAAGGTACATATCTCTCCAATGCCAGAAGCTCAGTGCTTCCAGACTATCCTGGCTGGTACGCCACTCCTTCTAGAGTGCCAAGTCTCCACACCTGATGCTTCTGTCCAGTGGCTCAAGGATGGAGATCCTGTGCTGATGGATGATAATAACCTCATTGTTAAATCAGAGGGCTGCATTCGGAGACTGTTGATTCATTCAGCCTGCCTCTTGGACTCAGGAACATACACATGTAGCACATCTGATGACTCAGTTGACTTCGCTGTGACCGTGGAAGGTGAGTTGAGGCAAAAAGATGGAATAATGTGCATGAGTAAACCCATAGCTCTGATAGGTTACTCCCACGTGAAGAGAAAGCATCTTGGGTTACTGCTGAATCTCTTCTGTCCATCACCAACTTGGGTCCTGGATTACGTTTTTCTCCTTAATACTGGTCTTACTTCTGCTTGTTCTTTTGTTCCATTACCCTCTCACCATTTTCTTGCAATTGATTCCTAAAAGTTACTTCTGTTCATTAATAGATTGTATTACACCAAACTTTGCCAAGCAATCACCAGGATCTCTGCTTCTCACTTATAGCTAGCATATGGGATGCAGAGACACCGGTTCACCATCTCCTTGTCATATCAGAACTATTTAATTTCTTTGCACAGTAACATTTCCTTCATAATCTCCACTAACCTAGCTCATTTGGGAAATGTCATATTCTATGCTATCATGGTCTTTCCTTTTGCAGAGGTGCCTGTCCGTGTTATACACACCAATGCAGATGCAGCTCACCTCTACCAGGCCTCAGAGCGTGTGGTGCTATCCTGTGAGCTGTCTTGCCCAGATGCTGCAGTTTGCTGGTATAAGGATGGGAAGGAGGTGGTGGAAAACAGTGGTTTTTTGCTGGAAAATGAGGGGTCCCATCATCATCTGGTCATCCCTGCAGCCCAGGAACACGATACAGGACAGTATATGTGTGATGCTGCTGGCAATTCCATCTTCTTCAATGTCACCGTCACAAGTGAGGAATTCTCTGGGGATTGACCTCACTACATATGTTTTGTATTCAAATAAATAGTACCAACCCCTTCTGACTTTGCAGATGTGGGCTGTTTCCTCTTTGCACTTCCTGAAGGTGCTCGTATCTTGATGAGAAGAAGTCAGATCTGGAGGTTTTGGTTCCAGCATTTTTGGTTGCTCTTGAGCTTTCCAGCATGATGTGGATTTGAGCTTCTTCAAACAGGAAAGGGGAAAGGACAGTCCTGTGCTTAAGTGTGAGATCTTGCTGGCATGGCTTGGACTGAAATTAGAAGGGGGCATCGTAAATATCAAAATCATCATTATACACTATCCAGATACTGTAGGAACGATTTCTTTTAAAGAAAAGGGCAGTGAGGGAAGACAATTGTTAGTGGAGAAGCAGTGGTTGGAAAGTGCTTACTGTTTCCTCCCTTTCATTTTTCTGCTGCCATTCTCTACCCCATCAATATATTCCCTGATTTTCAGTGTACCTGAAATCTAGCAGGAGAGAAAGCAGCTGAGTAGAAAGAAACAATCAGAAGAGAAGCAGGAAAAAGTTTAATGCTCCTTGATGGAAAACTATCTTCTCCTGTAGCTGCTTTTCTCTAGAAGCAGTAGCTGTCTGACATTCAGATGTTGAAGAGTATAAGAATGTACTTAGCAAATAAATAAAATAAAATAAAATAAAATAAAAATGATTCTTCAAAAGAAATCCCACTGATGCCTGGCAAAGTACTTTCAGGAACCACCTCTCTTCCACCTTCGTGTGTTGTTTAGCATCTCTCTAGGGACATCCCTCCTAAAAATTGCCCCTCCTGATTTATTATTTTTTATTAAACAAATTTGTAACCCCACCCCACCCCCCCATCTAGCAAAAGGAACTCCAATATTAATTGCTTTAGAGCTATTGGATTTAAATGTATGTGATGTATGGTTTGATCTTAGGCACAGCAGTGTGACCTCCTATACTCATGCAGTATGTCTGTCTACCAGAGCCTCTGGTGCAGATTTTGCAGCCAACTGAATGTTCACTGGAGAAACAGGTGTGGGCATTCGACCGCCTGGAGTTGAGCTGCACAGTGTCCGTTCCTGATGCCCCTGTACGTTGGTTCAAAGATGGCCTGGAGGTGGATGAGACAGACAACCTGTTGCTTCATGCAGAAGGTCCGGAACGTTGCCTGGTGATCCTACGGACAAGTGCTGAAGATGCTGGGGAATATATCTGTGAGACCAAGGATGAGTCTGTCTCCTTTGATGTCATGGTTTCAGGTGAGCTCTCCAGCCCTGATTCTGCAGTTCTCAAATTAATTAATAATCCAAAACCTAATCTGATGCAAGACTATAAATTGCAAAACCATCAATCCCACAAAAGCCTACCTTAATTTAACTAATCTATAAATGCAGCTTTTTCAGTCTATCTGTCCTGCCACTCCTGAATCTGGGTCTATACTTGTACTTCTACTTTTATCCCAATATGGAATGTGTTTTCACAGCTATTTTGCTGACAGCCTATGTAATGCCTATAAAACCTCTGCAAACTGAATTAATAATAGGAATGAATTTAGTGTTACAAAAATCATGGAGTTTCCTCTGCTCTGCTCTGCTCTGCTCTGTTGTTGTTGTTGTTTTACATTCTTTATGGTAATGTGCAACCAAGTATGGGATAAATATTATACTATTCATTTCCAAACCTTGCCTTTTATCAGTTCATGATGGGGAGGTGGGGGAGAATAAGGAAAATTGAATGGAAGGAAAGATTAACTGAGATCAGGCATGTACAGCGCCTGGGAGAGCCAAGTATGAAGGTAACTTATATAATTGGCCTCTATGGACATTTAGGCCTTATTAAATTTTAGCAAGAATGCATCTCTCTCCTTAACCTAAACTTATTATTTGGTTGCATAAATAATAATATGTTTTTGGGGTAAATGCTACAAGCATAATGCTGGCTACATCTGTGTCAAGTGATGGCAATTTGTTTTCTAGTGTGGGCAATCAGATATCCGAGGGGAGCCACACAGCAGGACATGAAAGCAGTGGCAACTGGTTACTGCCCGGATTCTGTGGCTTCTGATGTTGGAAACTGGGTATAGTGAACAGCTTCCTTCCTGAATTTGGCTAGTCCCCATTAAGCCTTCTGAGTTAGGAAGCATCACTGCATTTTATGGGAAATAATTCCATAGCATAACTAAGCAGGTGTAAAGGAATGCTTCATTTTGTCATTCTGAATTTCCTGCCATTCAGTTTCATTGGATGATTCTGGGATCTGAGAGACTGATCTACTTTTCCCACACCATGCATAAATCTTACCCATTTCTTCACATGCCTTCCTTGCTTGCTTTTTGCCTAAAACAATAAAAATAATGACGAGATCAAATGTTACAATCTTTTGTCCCTAAACGGATAAGTAAAATTGCTGTGAAAATAAATCCTGTTAAAAGCAAATGCAGAAAAAGTTGTCCTTAAATGTATGCATGCATTGCATATATTTGCAATGGGATTGGTTTGCTCTGAAACGGACTACCATTCGGCTAGCTATGCTTTGAGAATCCTCGTTGACTAAAATTTACAGGGTCTTTAAAACTGTACTGAATCACCAGTGTTTGCTATGTCATACAGGAGATTTTGCTTGTTGAAGCCTTGACTAAGCATAGTGCTGGAAATGCTAGAACTTTGCGGAACACCTGCCCAAAGTAATAGTAAATGCAGAATCTTCAAGATGCTTGGTGAAACAGCAACATTTTGCATAAGGGCATCCCTACAGTGGTATTTATCACACCTTTATCCTGACCATTATATAGGAGGGGCAACACCTATAGAATGAGTATGCAGCTCAGAGAAAAATGGTTGTGCCTAAGCTGCCAGTGTGAGGATGCAGCATAAATGGCTAATATCATACCTGGGTTTATTAATGGAGCTGTGGGAAAAATGTTGCAAAATATTGCTTTAAGCTATAGCAGCTCTTTAAAATGGGATTTTAATTATTACTAGCAAAGACAATGATAACCTACACCTTGGGAAATTGAGCCAAACTACCCATGTCAGTAGGTCGCAGCACCTTGCTGATCTTGGCTGATCTCCTCTAAAGCTAAGTAAGGTTGTATTTGGATGGGTGACCACCATGAAATACCAAAACGACTGGCTAGAGCTGGGAATAAAACGTATCTTGGAAGAGGAGATATTTCAACTTGAGGGCATCTTTACTTTTTACAGAGGATACATAGGATATTTCATATATAAATATACACAAAGAAGCACACAAACAAAGAAGCTGCAACTAGCGGCAGCAGAAAAGACGAACTTTAACAAATTCCCTTCCCCTTTCCCTTCTGAAATCCACATCTTGCTGATTTCCTCTCTATAGAGAAAAATATCAAGATAGAGAGGAGTTCTTGAAGCACTTCTTTAGGTGGAACAGAGGATAAATTTTCTGAGTGTTTTTCTGAAAGGCAGGAAGAGCATCTCTTATCCTTCAACCTGAGGGCAAAATGGAAAAGGGATTTATCATAATGTATCTACTGAAAAGATGGATCCCAAGTATCTCCAAGGCTTCCCCTCTCTCTCCCCAAGATACAAGGTTTTCTTGTTGCAAAGGTATTCTCTCACCCATAAACGTTTGCAGTTTTGCCCAGCAACAGCAATGTTGCCTGTGGCCTCTTCAAACCTGGGCTACCTGCCCTCTCCTTCCAGAGCCCCCTGTGAAGATCGTGCAGCCGCGCAGGACTCCCTCTGTCCTGAAGGCCTCAACGGGGGATACAGTGACTCTGGCCTGTGTGCTCTCCCATGGGAATGCGCCTGTCCGCTGGGTTAAGGACGGTGTCCCAATAGAGGCCAACAGCGGCCTTATCCTGGAGGAAGAGGGTGCCCGGCGGTGTTTGGCCATCCCTGCAGCTGGCCCAGAGCATTCTGGGAAATACATCTGCAACGCTGTTGACGATACCATGACCTTCACCGTCCAGGTGTCTGGTGAGTGCAGCGTTCAGGGAAGCTGGTAGTGCTAGGAAAAGGAGCTGAGAACCTACTATTGGGGGTGGGGGGTTGTTGGGAGAATTTGTCTAACATTGGTTGAATCATTTAGATATACTACTCTGTGTCAGACCTTAGCTTCTTTTTTCTCTGAGTAGATAGTCCAAAGCATCACCATACAAAGCTTGAGCAAAATCACCCCAGAGCTTCTGAAAGGCCAGGGCTATCCGATCCCTAGAGTTGGTACATTGGACATAAGTATAATTTATCTCCTAATTCAAAGAAAGTATACTTTGATAATGCAAGAAAGCCAGAAAGTGCAACCTCTTACGCCCAACTGTCCAAGCAGGTTAACATTTCTAGGTCTGCAATTGTTTGGCCTTGAACAAGTTTGGTGACAGACTGTATTTGAGGACTGGTATGAACACTATCAATGAGTCAAAACCATCTTGCTGCAGGCATTTCAGTTGCCCTACATATTGACTTCTGTTAGCCTGGAGTGGATTATTGGCTATTCTGCTGGCCTAAAAGTATTCTGTTTAAGTTTTCTCCGTGTGTTATCTCAGTGTTCCCACTACATTTATGTGCTCATTGTTCATTGACTGTGGACAATGAGTACATTTTCTTACAATCATTGGCTACAGTATGTTTGCAAGCTTGTAAGTGTAGCATAGACTGAAAATAACTGGGGCTTTTCTCATAGACAATCCTATCAACAGAGAGGGAGAAATGGCCTGATTGAGAGAGAGACTTTGAGATTGTTAAAGCCATAATGTATTTAATAGTTCTTCTGTAATAATTGTAGTAGTAATAGTAATACTCAGGGATGAACACTAGTCAATCGCTGCTCATCTTTTTGTTTCAAATTGTCTAATCACTGAGCAGACTATCCCCAGAGTTTTCAATCCATTCTTCTGAGAATTAACAAGCAACCCTTGCCTTTTTCTGCACACCATAGTACCAAACTCATGTGGCAGATGAGGTAACATTCTAGCAAACCTTGCAAACTGAGAATGTATATGGCAGCAAACTCTGTTAGAGTGTGGCATCTCAGCAGAATTGCATTTAAGGGCTTTTCCCCAGCTAGGCTGAATGAAATATTGGCTAGGAGCTGGGAAATGTTAAAGGCAGCCTCTTTAATGGCCAGAAACAGAGGATGAACTTGTTGGAAAATTAATTTTATCTGTCTCTGAAGTGAGGGAGAAAGAGAATGCAAATGGGTTATCCAAAAGTGGTGAGGATCTGGAGGTTTTAGAAATTTGCATTGCATCAATGCTGGTTTGTGGACAATGTGGTGCTACTAAGGGGGGGGGGGTGGGGCCCAAGGAGCAAGGAAAAATCAGCATCTGGAAGTGTTTTATGTTTTCAGAAATGCACAGCTTATAAAAATGTGGTTGGACCAGATAAAAAGTTTCCAAGGTCCTTAGCCAAAGTGTGGCAGATGGAAGGAATCTGAACTTTCCCATGGCCTATATTTGAGGATAGGAGGAAATTTAACCCATCTTCTACTTGTCAGCTCAGATCTGTTGGTGTTCCTGCAAAATACATCTCATTAACTTGCAAATTCTGGTTTTAGGATTCTTGTAGGCTTTTTATGGTACAAACAGAATCTCTCTGTGTTTAATGCTTAGTTGAACTTTGTCTGGTAGATGCAAGTGGTAAGAAGTGCTTTATCTGTTAAAGTACTGAGCTTTTTTGGCCATTCCTTTGAAATTTAATTCTTAGTTTGATAAACTTTCTTGAAGCTCTGAGGGTAGTGTAGTTACACGTGGTCCAGTCTCCCTTCTGATTAAAAGTTACCTCTCTGATATCTCAAATTGCTACGTTCCTACACAATGTCACACAACTGAAGTTTTCCCCCCAACTGGCCATCCGATCATTTGCTGCTTCTGAGGAATCTTTGACTAAAGCTTTCCTTCTAAAGCGGCAGCTGGAATACCCAAGGAGGTGGCTGGGTACAATGAATTCATTTTCAGGCTATTTCATTTACTTGAGCATGCCTGAGCTTTCTTGAGACAGAAAATTGGATTCCTTCCCCTGTGTGCTGTTTCACTTAGAGAAAGTATTATTAATAGAATGGTTGCTCTGCTTTTTAAAAATGGAGATCTTTGATAAATGCTTCTGCATTCTTAAACTGGGGTATGAATGGCATTGATTCAGGGTTTGTGTTTCCTCAGAATGTAGCTTTTGGTGTCAAAAATCTTTTGTAGGTCAGGGCCTGCCCCACAATTAGGCAAAATAAGGAGGTTGCCTTAAGCAATGCATTTTAGTTGTCATGAAAGGACAGCCAGTCCTAAGTTACTCATTCGGTCACTGTTGCAATAGCTTGGATTCTTGGACACAGTGCCAGAATCACTTGACCAGCTTGGTTCTTACACACCTTGATTTGAGAGGCTGGCATGAGCAATGTTCTTCTTTCGGCAGCAAAACATCTGGGATCAATCTGCTACATTTCCATACATCACTTTGAAGAGACACAGTTGCTAGCAAATAAGAAGTGTAATGGGAAGTACTGTAGGAAAGTGATACTCGTTGCAAGAGAACGGCCACTGCTGCTTTGGCCAAGTTGGAACTTTATCCGTCATACCAGCCACGTGTAAGAATGTCCTAGCTGGGTAATTGAGGACAGGAGAAAAAAATCTGCAATATATTTTTCAAGTATGTTTTGAGCACAAACCTGGGGAGGGGACGGGACTTAATTCCCTGTTGGAGGAAAGAGATTAGCTGCTACAGAAGCTGAATGAGTTTAACCCCAGTGGGTGTGCAATAAAAGCCATAAGTGAGCTGCTGTGGGTTTTTTGCCCACTAGGTGGAGCTGGCTTTGTGGCAGCCTTGGCAGCCGAAGGGTATTCAGTGTACACAGCGGTGATGGCGGCCAGGAGACAGGATCCTTGTTGTTTGGTTCTGATTTTGTTTTTTGTTGTTTGAGAGGAGGTAGGAAATAGATACAGCACTCTCAAAGGCTGCCTTCCTTAATACACCACCTTAAACAGGGAAAGCTTCTATAACGTGTTAGTCTTGGGGAAAAGGCATGCTTTGATACACATTTGTTATGGGGATTTGGGGCTTAAGGGCCTCTTCTCTGATAGAAGAGGCATTTGTACAAAAGGCAAGGCAACAAAGGAAACGTGCAAACTCAGGGGACAGAGCATCCTCCGGCATTTTGCTCGCATGGGACCAGTGAATGTTCCAGGGTGCCTCATGTTGCAGACCTGCTGAAAGTCTAAGAGAACCTTTGTATGGGAAACTACTAGGGAGCATCTAGTAAAAGGAGGATATGCAATTTAAAGAGCTCTTCAGTTGGATTTGTAATGGGAAAATAAAAGCTACAGGGATAGGATGCTTGTTTGTCTTACAGATACCTTTCCCCTGCTATCTTTTCTGTATGAACAATGATGGGATGCTACAAAACCAGGGGAGAGTGGTCCCAAATTACTGAAGCTTTACAAATGAAAATGATAACATCCTTTGTTTCTTTTGTGTCTGGGGTATCCAATTGACTTCAGCATGTTTTAAACTCCTGTGACTGTCTGCATGCCTGTTGATTCAAAAGGCCAATCTTATGATTGACATAGTCTTGTTAGAAAACATTGACTAATCATTATTATATTTCTTCCCAAGCTCAAGAAGCCTCTTAGTGCTTCTCTGGAAAATGAGGGCTGGTTCTAAAACTAGCTGAGGATGGTGAGAAATGTAATCTAACACGATGGAAGGGTATAATAGGAGAAATTTGGTTCTCCAAGCAGCATGTTCTCTCAGGTCAAGGTCAAGTTTACCTTCAGCTATGAGTCTTAAGTGTGGATTCCCCTTGGAGACTAGATTCTTGGGATAAGCTCATCACATCATTCCAATTTCTCTCAAATTGTGCACCACTTAGGAGACTTTTTATGTAAAACAAGAGAGGATTAAGATAGGATATTGTTATTAGGTTAATCACAATAGTGTTCCCCTCATTAAGACAGCCATTAAAATTAGAACAGGTACAGAAAGTTAACTAACATTTGTTTGTACTGGCAGATCCTCCAGTTCAGATAGTGGGGCGAGATGAGCTGCAAACTCACCACCATTGCTTGGTTTCTGAAGACCTGGTGCTGTCTGTAACACTGTCTTGCCCCAAAGGAGAGGTGAAGTGGTACAAGGATGGGGAAAAACTGCAGGACACAGAACGTGCATGGCTAGAACAGGATGGAACACGACATTCACTGGTGATTTCATCAGTGGAAATCTGTGATGCTGGGGAGTATCTGTGTGACAGTGGTGATGACAGCCTCATCTTCTATGTCATGGTTGAAGGTAATGTCTGAGTGTGGGGGGGATGGAGGGGAAGACCACTCATGGACAATTTCTTTTTATAAAAAAATACAACTTTATAAGGCAAGAATATCAAGAATAACACGGAAAGAGCATTATGTTCCAGCTTCCAGATTAGTTCAATACTATTTCGGTAATTCATATTCAGTACAGGAAATAAAGGATTCAGTACAAACTTGTTCTGCTACTTACATTTGAAAAAGGTCAGCTTATTCACAGTCAGTAGCTTTGTCTCTTGTTTCTGGCAGTGATAGTTGTGCCTGCTGTTTTGTGAATAGAGTCTTAGAGGGATCCTCACTATTCATAAACAGGAAAATGCACATTCCACAACATATATGCACTGTATATGTACATTGGCATTAGCTTTTGGCTACTTAATGCCAATATGATTTAATATCTTCTCAGAACCACCACTGTACATTTATTTATTTATTTATTTATTTATAGGTTGTATATACCACTTCAATCTAAAAAGACTCTTAAACGATAATTAATCTTTACTGAGTTGCATTTCCAACACCTATCTGAAATCCCACTAATAAAACATAGCTTTATCGGTCTGAGCAGATGAGCTTTGTTTCTGTTGATATTCAGATTACTAATATAATTATTAGCAATTATATCAATATCAATTAATTATATATCAATATCAAGTAATTATATCAATAATTACTAGGCTGTAGAGAGCTGGTTCTTTAAAAAAATAAGATCAAAATTTAGCATCAAGAAATGCTGTGTATTATTGAGGTACATCAAGTGCAGTAGCTACACAACACTTTGCTTATTTAATATAATGTCTTCCACTTTTGCTTGTTGTGGGGAGAAGTAACACTGTTTATATAGGACATGGTTGTAGATGCTTCCTTGCCATGATGGCAATATTGCCTCCAGCATTAGAGATGTTTGTTGTCCTCTCCTTTGCTCTCAAGTGACATCGAGGGGAAGGTTTTGTTGCCATGGAGCTTTTGGGGGCCTGCCCATTTAAAAGACTCTAATGCTAAATCTTGGGTTTGGCCTGAGTGGGGAAGTGAGACAGGCAGCTACATATTTTTAGTTCCTGGAGTACCGTAAGTGACTTTCAGGAGCAATTCTGTTTGTCTGGGTCAGTTACAGTACACTGATATTTTCTGAAGACTGACAAGAGGCCCATCAAACCCCGTCTGGGCCCTGTTTTATGACAGTGTTTTCTTTTTCTTGGTTTCCAAGAGCCTCCCATCTCCATCGTGGGAGATACAGAGATGCCAGAGCATCGCTCCTTGGCAACTGGAGAAGATCTAATCTTGGCTTGTGATACATCTTCACCTACGGCTGCTGTGCGATGGCTCCGGAATGGCGAGGAGCTAGTAGCTGGCAAGCGCATCCTCACAGAAGCCAGTGGTAGGCGCCGACAACTCACTGTCCTGAGTGTCAGACCAGGGGATTCAGGCTCTTACGTGTGTGACGCAGGCACAGACCAGAGGGTGACCACAATAGAAGTAGCAGGTGAGACTGAATCGAAGGAGAAAAAATGACACACTTGGGAAAGGGTTGAAAGGAGGAAGCACAGAAGGGGCAGAACAAATTGTAGCTTATGGGGGAGAAGCTGGTGTAGAGTAATGGTTGCGTCTGAGATGTTCAGCAAGAAGTTATTGGTTCCATATCCGTCTCAGCTCAGAATTTATGAAGTATCACAGAGAAGCCGTTATCTTTCATCCTCAACCCTGTCAACTGTAGTAGGCAATAATAGCTATCTGATGGCTGTAATACAGATGACTGACAAAGTACTTATCCATGTGTCCCCTAAACTATGGCTCAAAGATGGCTTGGCAATTTTTCTTTATAAAGACATGTCCTCATGATGCTGCCTTGTCTCATCTCCAGCCCAGAGCTAAGCTGCCTAATGCCATATTTAGCTGATCTGATGTTAAGGTTGTGTTTTCCATCTTCTGACACAAGCCTGGCTATAAGCATGATTTCTGCTGCTTCAGCAATGGCATTAGTGATGATGTGGTGAGAAGCTGCCTAGTTGCCTGAATGACCTTAAGAGGGCTTGGAGCTAGCCTTCCACAGTAGTGTACTTCACTAGGATTAACATTTGTGTGATTATGTCATCACACGCATGCAATCATTTGCACCCCCCTTGCCTTGCCCCCATCACAGACACCCATGTTCTGGTGAAAAAATGATTCTATCTCAGTAGTTGCCAGATCCAATGTTTCTGAACTTTTTTGGAAATTGAGTCTTGGACCTCTTCCCATTTTCAGGTCCAGCAGTGGGATAGGACATAAAACAAATGAAGGGAACATGCCTGCGCTCAGCTGATTGTAACTTGGTCAGACTCTTAGGTTACCAAGACTTCTATATTCTTTGCCTGTAATTCCTCTCCTGACTGAAAGCAATACATATATTACTGACTACAGACTTTGAAAGAAACTGTGGGGGAAGCACCAAGACAGATGCTTTGAGGAGAAGCAGAAAATAGCTCATCAGACCTTGCCAAAAGATGAGGTGGCAGCATAGAAAAGCAGCATCTTTCAGCATCTAGGACTAGATCCTGGGCCCTTTGGGGAAATGAGGACACTGGAACATTTCTAGAATAGCAATGAATTTTGAGGCAAAAGTTCAGCTCCATTTCTACAGCATCCTTCTGTGGAGGAGGCAAGATAAATCACATACATCAACAACATTATCCAGAGCATTGTGGATATTAACAATTTAATTTACCCTGTAAATTATATTTAATTAAAAGCTATTTGTTTCTGAAGGTTATGCAGAAGAACAAAGAGCAGCGGTGGTATCCTGCCACTGGTAATGGATTTTTACTCAGTTTCCCCAGAGTAATATGAAGAGGTCCTAAAAAGAGACAGAAAATCTAAATTGTATTCCATATTTCCAGTTCTCCTCCTCCTCCCCCTCTCCCTCCCCCTCCCCTCTCCACCTAATATTATTACATACCATTAAAATAAATTATATATATACGTATGTATGTGTGTTTGTGTGTGTGTATATGTGTGTGTGTGTGTATATATAAAATATATTAAAACTCTCATTGTGTTTGTTTGTCTGTTTGTACTCTCAAATTAGCATTATATCGCAACAGTTTTTGAATCAAGGTACTCAAAATCCTCCAACTTAACGTGTAAAATATCCAGGGCCCATTACTCCTGCGGAATTGAAATTTGCACGATATTCAGATCAGTTTTATTTGCAAAGTGGTGGCCATTGCAGCATCCCCACGGTCAAGTGATCGTGTTTTCTGATGCTCCCTGCCAGCTTCCCACAAGCAAAGTCAACGGGGAAGCCGGCAGGAAGTTGGAAGTTGCTCCCACTCCCATTGCTTTTTTGCCCTCCCGTGGTCATTCTGTTTATCTGTTTAGGTAAGTAAATATTGACTTATTATTGATGTGCATTTGCCACTACAATTATTTTTCTGTTTATGATATATACTCTTCTTAGATGATCATGGGACTGTCCAGCATTGGGGTAAAAAAAAATATGGTCAGACTAAAATGTAATGTTCATTCTGGTCACATCAGACTACACTACCTTACTCTCAAAGGATGACCCAACAAGTCACAGTGTTGTCTAGTTATTATTTATTTTTAGCATATAACAATAATTAATAGAAGGAACTCACATTGATGCTGCTGCTGCCTGGATATGCTGAATTAATGTTAAGGTGATTTCAATTCTCTTGGAGAAAGATATAATAAAATAAGTATCCAAGCAGAAAAGATGTAGTTGTAGTTCATATAGTCCTCTTTTCACAGTTTCAGAAACATTTATAACGTATTGTACTTCAGTGGTAGCCCACATCTTCTGTGTCCCTGACTACTTTTGCTGTCATAGGACAGGAAACATATCCAGCTTTGATTTCAGGGAACTCTCTTTCTCTTAGCACCCCCTGTATGCATTGTGAATAAGGATGATGCCCGGGAGCCTATTGAAGTCCAGGAAGGAGTGAATGTGACACTGGTTGCCCAACTTTCTCAAGAGAAGGCTTGTGTCCAGTGGCTCAAGAACATGCAGCCACTTTGTCCCGGGCCACGAATGATTATGAGCAGTGAGGGGCTGTTACACAGCTTAACCATCCAACAATCTGAGCCATGTGATCGTGGCACGTTTAGCTGCAATACTGGAGATGATGAAGTGCATTACACAATAAATGTACAAGGTAAGGGTACCAGTCTTGATTTCAAGCCAGCTGTTCTGGTGTCAGAAACCTTCCATCCTTCTTCCATCCCTGGAAGACTAAGGTCACTGTATGACAACCCTGTTCTAGGTCATATATGGGACAAGGGGTCGTGGAGCTCATGGAATGGAGTGAGAGGCCTTAGAAAAGGGGAAGGGATGCAGGAGGTACTGTGATAAGAGGACTATGAGTCTGACTGTGCTATGAATCATAGGATGACCCTTGGGGTGTGGACAGGGAGGAATGATGGGGCTGAAACAGATTTGACCATTTCTCAAATATTGCCATTTCTGAGATTCACACATATGAGGTTCTTTGCCTGCACAGAACCCAGAGGCTTTTTCTTGAAGGTTCATCCTCCTCTGCATACTAGATATGCTCATAGGCTGAGGTCCTGCTAATATCCTCAGGTTTTTTCAACTGCCACAGGAGTAGTACATTGGTTTGCTTCTCCAGGATATTTGCCTTTCCCTTTAAATGTGTTTCTATTGTTACTTGGTTTTAATTTGTCTGGTGCTCATCTGCTTACAGTATTTCTTGTTTCACTGAAATCTATTAGTATGATTTATGGAGACAAGAGATTCTGTGGTATTCTTGGTCTGCATAGCCTCAAAGCCCTCTTTCTATAATTGCCAATGTTGCCAAGCTTACCTTCTCTCATGGTTGTGATCTCTGCCTGTTGTGCCAGGAGAGGAACATGTTGTGGATGTCTGTTAATGTTTCCAGACCTTTATATAATATCCTTTTTTAAGCTACTCTTCTCACTGAAGAACAACCTTTCAGGAACAGGTAATGAAATCTGCTGATTCAGGACCAATTAATGCATTTACCTTGAAGACAATGTGGTCTGTCTCTCAGTCTAATTATATCTTAGGAAACAACCAACATGTCTAAGGCAGCCTCAGAAAAATCATTCACAATTGACTTGGGGCATGATATTGTTGTCTCTGATGCTGGGGAAGACTCTGGACTCTGAGCTGTCCCATACAGGATTTGCATGACCATCTTTCCTCCATCTTTTTTGATTCTGATTATACTCTCTACCTTTTTGTCCTTCTTGCATAAAGATTTATTTATTATGTATCTCTGTCATCATTTACCACTATCAAAATCTCTGTTTTATCACAAATGGCTTGGATGATCAGTTTTGAGTTTCTTCATCCTAACAGCCATGGCCTCCCAATTTTTTTTTCAAAAAATATGGCCATAATGGTGACAAATTTTCACTTGCACACTATTGCCTATCCATACTTGGACAGTTGATTTATTGTTGGAGCATCCTATGGGATATTTACTTGAAATGTACAATATATTCTTGACTAGCTATAGACTTCAGACCAAGAAAGTCCATTTCATCTCTTCCTAGGTGATGCAGTTCATTGGGGCAGTTCTAGAATCAAGAAAAGACAGAATCTTTCTCCCATTGGCAAGCACACATTCCTGCCAGTGCCTCACAGACACTTTCACTCCCACATGCAAGATGCATACTTGCACAATCCTTCAATTGCTTGGACATATAGCAACAGCTACTTTTGTCACCTTGTTCACCCACTTGCATCCATTGCAACTCTGATATTTGCACTCTACCCTAGAGAGGCAGACATTCAGAGAATATAGCTGTGTGTCCTATCAAATTATTCAGTATATAATGCTTGTGATACTCACCATATACTGGCTTTCCATGTAGCGGATTAGCTTTAGTGGTGTTAGGGGTATACCTTATAGCTAGTCAACTACTGGTTATGGACTTTTTTCTGGTTTTATATCCATTTGTTAAATAAATGTTTCATGAAATACTTGCTTTAGCTGTACTTGCTTTTATCTCTGCTGGTATCAACATGGAGCATGTCACTGATCCTGATGGTGCTACTGCTGAAGCCATTTGAACTGATGGCCACTTTTGCAGTGAAACCCTACATTCATAGTAGCTGTGACTCCAGGCAGATGAACTAGGTGAATCCCTTATGTACAATATGCACTGAGGCAGAGAACAAGTTAGATTTGCATTTTGATATTTCCTTCCTTCCTGCTGAAGTCCTCCTGCTTAAATCAAGACATATGCAACTCCCCCCCCCCGCCAAACTCTTTGATGCTGATGAACGATTTATGCATGCTTTGGATATCTACAGAATGGTTGCTTTTTATTTGTATCAACTGACTGCTTTCTGGAGAAACCAGCACCCATTTGTGTGTTTTCAGAGGCTCAGAAGAGTTTAGGTTTACTGACTCAGAAATTTTCCAAATGAGTTATGGCTGTCATAAGTTATGGTTTAGTTAAGTATCAGTGCCTACTTGCCAACTGGGGATACTCAAGGAGGGCAACAGCAGCCACTGCAGCTTTTCTTAATCACATTTTCTTGCCCACACTGTACTGAAGAAACATTTGGGAACAGCTGTCTGCCTTTATTCAACTCAACTTGCTTGATCTTCAGTCCTGGAGATGTGAGAGAGCTTTCTTCTGTGAACTGCTACCTCCTTCAGTTAATAAAGCTAAGTAATGACCCATGTGTGTTAGTCATAGAGACCATGATGAAGAGCTAATTATTCACTTTTAATTGTGTTTTTTTTTTAGTGGTCATATGTGAATTTATGCTACCCATCCCCATTCAGTGCTGATGGCATATATAACACCTGTCTGTTTTGAGGATTGCTATGTTGATCTCAAAAACAAGAGATTAGCAAGAGTAACTTCTATGAGTATGTATGGTATGCAGAGTGGGGTGAATCCCCCAGAATCTCTAAGTTCTGGAATATTCCTATGAACCACAGTTGCAAATAAATAACCAGTTTCTCCAGCTCCATTCTCTAAGGGAGAGTTTTGATGATACCCAAGCAACATCTGCTGAGAGGGAGTAGAGAGAGGCTAGTTAGAGTAGCAGCTTCAATGGTCACAATGATGGAAGTGGATTAGAGATGTAGTTGAGTGTTCCTTGCTTTCTTCAAGTGCTCCTCTCTCTGCTCCTTTTCTTCTTCTAGAGGCCCCAGTGCTGTTTGTGCCAAAATCAGAGCATCCAGAGAAGGTGCTGGTGCTGGAGGGGGGCAGTGCAGTGCTCTCAGCCATTGTCTCCAAGGAGTCATCTGTGGTAAGCTGGGAAGGACCCCGAGGGAACCTTGTGGCAGGGGAGCACTGCCAGCTGCGCAGAGAAGGACGGGTCCACAGCCTCTTGCTGAGTAATGTAGGCAAAGCTGATGCCGGAGAGTACATATGCCATTCTTCTCATGACCAGCTGCATTTTGAGCTTAGCGTGAAAGGTAAGAGTTCTGTGCAGAAGCTGTTCAGTATGGCAGCCCAGGCAATTCAAGAGGCAATCAGATATGGGCCCACAGCAGGGGGCTCCTACTTGGTCTTGGGTAGTGTGCCAGAGGTTGTGCTCCACAAAGTAGGAGATGGGATCCAGACAAAAACTGTACTCAATTTAATTTTTCCTCTTGGTTATCAGTTTGGGAGGCCTCCAGAGGCCACGTCCAATGTTTAGGGCATCAGGTTGTGCATCTTTATCTTATGGGATCACTAAATAAATAAAATACAGCCTGCTCAGGAAGGATGACTAGGGTCAAAATGGAATGAGTTTTTCTGTTATATTAAAACAAGTATTTTGACAGACGGGGGACCTTTGGTAGAGCATTCAGCCATGGGCTAAGCCATACTAGTTGAAATTTTCCCAACAACACAATCACAAAAAGAACCTGTCTCTCTAAGGATTCTGTATATCCCAGCTGGACCTTCTGTCTCTTTAGCTTGATTGACTAAGGAGACTCTAGATCTTCTACAGACTGACTAGCTTTCTTTGCAAGAGGGAGCCTTGTGATCATGCAGCAAACAAACTGGGCAGTAAACCTTTGTCTGCAGTGTGGAAACTTTAAAGATAATTTCCCAATGTGTTGCTCAAGCAGTTGGGAGGAGGGGAGAGTTTCCTATTATCCCTTCAGTAGTTCTTGCTATAAAAACGTTTGGTTGTTTGAAAAAGAAGTAGCCTGTTTTTTTCAACAAGGGAACTATTGGTGGTTATTAGCTATGAGAGCTAAATGGACTCTCAGTGTGTAGAGGCAATATATTCCTGATTAGCATATGCTTGTGGTCAAGCAGTGGGACAGCTTTTATAGCCTACTGGGAGGCTTCAGAGGCGTCTGTCTGATCGCTGTTGAAAATGTAATGCAGGGTGAAATGAACCCATTTGATTCAGTAAGGTAGTTTCTATTCAGTGATACACAGCAATGTTCAAAGTTCTCTTCTAGGTGCACATATTTTGACCAATAATTTTGGATTTTCATATACGATTGATGCAGTTAACCTGACTCTGGAGTGGCTGCAACTTAGTCACCGAGTAGCTTCTGCACATGCAGAAAGTCTCAGGCATATTTGTTGTCATCTCCAGTTAAAAAGATCCCAAGGTACAGAAGGAGTGAAATCCTCTTTCCTGAAACTTCCTTGTGCCAGGCAAAATAAACAGGCCCAAGCTTGCGAGGATTATAGCCATAATCTTTAGAGCCATTCATAGGTAAGGATAACTGAGCTTGAGAAGGGACAGAAGGGACTGTCCTTCTCCTTTTTGTAGAAGCCTTTCCTAGATATTTTTCAGCCAGAGTAAACTGTAGTCATGAGGTCTAGAAGTTCAGAAAGAGAGCAAACTAGGAATTTGAAAGTCTGCAAAAGCTGTGAGTTGTGGCATATTTGGGACGCTCTGAAGATTTCCAGTCTGTTCTAAACCTCCTACAATTTGGCATGAGTTCTACCAGTTGCCAAGATTTGATCATCATAACCATACTGTTCTTTACACACCTCAGAACTGCTGGTGAAGTTTGTTCGGGGTCTCTCAGATGTGACAGCGCTGCAGGGTGACACAGTGTTGTTCTGGTGTGAACTGTGCAAAACCAAGGGAGATGTAACTTGGCTGAAAGATCGGCAGGAGCTGGAGCCCAACACACACCTGGAGATCCGAGCAGAGGGGCGAGAGCGTTCCTTGACACTCAGCAACGTGAGGCCTGAAGATGCTGGCGAATATTCATGCGAAAGTAAAGATGACCGTACTTTGGCTATTCTCACAGTCCAAAGTGAGTCCTTTGGAGAAGTTGGAGAGCAGATGCCTTGCATGGAAAAGGTCTAGTTTCAATTTCTAGTATCTTTAGGTACAACTTCCAGTTAATGTAAACCACCGTTTGGCCCCACTGATTAAAGGGGACTGAAGTTGTTTGAACACATCCCAATGACATCAAATTAAGGAAGAACACAGTCTTAGGAAATTGTTTAAGTCATTTAGCTATGTTTCTTGTTCATAATACCATGTTCATACCCCTCCATGCAGCAGTATAATTCTATAATTCTCTGCACATTGCTATACAGTAGAACTGATGTCCATAAATCTGCATAAATCAATGAATGAGATAAAATATAGAGGGAATGAACGGCAATAAAGCTAAGCTTGACTACAAAGAGACAAGTGTGTAGGTCCTAAGAGATGAATCTCATGGAGATACTATGTTAGGTGGGCTTTGGGGTCTCGTATTGGATTGGTTCTAAACCTACATGGCACCTTTTTCTCAGTCCCTAGGTTGGTGGAGATAATCTCTGAGCTGCACAATTTAACGGTGCTGGAAGGGGATGATGCCACCTTCAAAGCAGTGGTATGTCCAGATGATGTGAGTTTGAATTGGCAGCTGAATGGACAAGATGTAGTGCCTAATGAGCGGTTGACTATAACCAAGAATGGGCTCTGCCATACCCTCACCATACGACAATGTCGCTTGAGTGACACTGGCATAGTCACTGTCCATGCGGAAGGTCTGTTGAGTTCAGCCAGACTCAGTGTGCAAGGTAAGAGGAAAGGCAACACTAGGTGTGTTGCTTTTTGATAAATGCAGATACTTGGGCAGAATTACTGTGTGTTAGTAATAGGCAGAGTTTCAAGGGGGTAATCAGCTAATGCTAGGGCTGCGTCCTTGCTTGTCTCCCCAGTTCCACGCTAAGAAAATGTAAATTCTTTGCTCAAAATAATGGTCTCTACTTACTTATTTTACATAATTTATGCTGCTTCCCTAGTCACATAGGGAATATAATAGAATCTCTTTTGGAAATTCTACTTTGACTACCCTTCCTCTTTGAAGATCTGTCTAGGCACAGCATGTCGAATTTTCAAAACTTTATAGCCCTGCAGGTTCTGAACTTGTACTTTTGAAAAATAAAAGCTAGGGTTCTCGGGCTTCTGAAATCTGTGTTTGTAAACATACCTAATTGACCCATTCCTTGAATCCTGGCTTCTCCCTCTGTAAAGAGGGAAAGATCATGGCCTGGGAATGCATTTGGGTTAGGGATGTATCAGCTAGTAGCCAACCTTTGAGAATTTCTTTCTGCAGAGGCTCAGGTGCTGTTTGTGCAAACGTTGCGTGATTTGGCAGCTGAGGAGGGGCAGGATGTACGCTTGGAAGTGGAGCTGAGCTTGGAAAGCGCTGAGGTGCAGTGGATGAAGCAAGGCATCTTGCTGCAGCAGAACACAAGACACTCCATGGAGGTGCAAGGGCCAAAACGGGCCCTTACCATCCACAATGTTGAGCTTGCTGACCGAGGCACCTATCGCTGTGAGAGCCTGCATGATCGCACCCAAGCCAGACTGAGTGTGGAACGTAGGTGCCAACTTCTAGTTTCTTGTTTCTATCCTGTTCTTATTTTGTCTCACAGTTGTGTACTGTAAATCCTTGAGACAGGGTCAGTGTCACTTTACCTTAGGGTTTTTTCCCCACTGACATCTCTGCTGAATGTGAGAGTTCCTTTAACAAGGATTAGCTGAATATTACCAATTGTTTGGGAAGGTCTGCATGCCTGGTGAATTTAACCCTTTCTGTAACCCTAAACAGAGCTTCATTCCATATTCAGTTCCTCTTCCCCTTGCTTCATTTCCATCTAATTTTGTTTCTTTTTTCCTTTCCTTCCCAGTGCAGCTAACCTTTCTTCTCACTTCATCTTCATCTTCATCTTCCTCCCTCCCTCCCTCCCCCTTTCCCCTTCCCTTCCTCCTCCTTTTCTTTCTTTCTTTCTTTCTTTCTTTCTTTCTTTCTTTCTTTCTTTCTTTCTTTCTTTCTTTCTTTCTTTCTTTCTTTCTTTCTTTCTTTCCTATTTATGCTGGAAGGCAAGATGACAGTATCTGTATACATCTACTTGCATATTTATGGATGTAAGAGTGATTTATGCATGAATGAAATAACTTGGTATACACAGAGAAGAGATCAATTTTTTAAAAAAATATGGTGCATTATTTTACAGGCCATTATTTTTAACTAGAAGTTTTTAATTCAGTTATTGTAATCTTTTTTTTTTCTTTTTTGGCCCTATCCTTGCCTTTTTTGAAATCTGGGCTTTAGCAGATATATATCTAATTGCCAAAGTGCAGTAGTGGACACTGCATAGGACTGTTGCCTTTGCTTATATTTCATTTTTCTATCCAAAGTTCACTTGAATTGAATATGATTCCTGGTGACATGTCCAAAGCAATTTCTTGGCAATAATATGGAAGTGGACTGCCATTGCCTTCTTCTGAGATTTTTTAAATATCCCAATCTACTCTATAGTCCAGGGTTTCCTGTTGGTCTCCCATTTAAATATTAGCCAAGTTCAACCCTGCTTAGCTTTTGTGAGACTCGTCAAGATTACCCTGGTGCTCGTAACTTCTCTTGTGAGGAAGAATCATCTTGAATTCTAGTTCATCTTGATTTCTGATAATTGTGCTGATTCCATTCAGAACCTTCTACCCTATTAGTAATAAATGCACGAGGAAGAAGAAGTAAATGTGGATCCTGCCCAAGTAGGTCAGAGAAGCAAACAATTTTCTTGCTAGTGGGAGCCCCATGAGAGTTATCCTAGGATTCTGTATCCCCTGGATTAGACTGTTCATACTATATATACACCTCCTGGTAACTTGCTTTTATTTATAAGGAGCAAGTAAACTCCTTTCATGACAAAACTGAATCTATCACAGATTTTTTTGTCCTTCAGCCCGGAAGGTGACAGTGAAGAAACCGCTATTGGATGTGGAGACGTTGGAGAAGGAGACAGTGACATTTGAGCTTGAGCTATCCCACCCCAATGTATTGGGGGTCTGGATGCGTGATGGCATCCGTGTAAAGCCTAGTTCCACCTGCCGAATGAGCACCAATGGTTGCGTGCACAGCCTGACGCTGCAAGGGCTCACACTAGATGACACAGGGACTGTGGTCTTCACTGCTGATACTGTGCGGAGCTGTGCCCGCCTTACAGTCCGAGGTACTGGAGCAGTGGAGGGAGGGCAGCAGAAACGCAACTTGCTGGTGATGGAAATAAAATAAGAGGAGGCCATTGCCATCATGCCCAGATTGTAATGTCCCCAGGGGCATCTAGCTGGCCACTGCAGGAAACAAGATGCTAGACTAGATGCTCTTTGGTTCAGTCCTACCTTCTAACAGATCTAATGTCCAAAACTCAAGGTATCTGCAGTGTTGTCAAATGCAAAGCAGTTGATAGAAATGGCAGCTTGGGAAAAACTGGACATGGGGAGTAGGACAAGTAGATAAATAAATTGGTGTCCTTCAAACTGAGTGCAGATAAGGGATGCAAGCTGGTGTGGTTTGGCTAAGCACCATGTCTTGAAGATTTTACGTCATTTTAGTCTCCCAGATAGTGCACCTGCAAGCTACTCTGTGTTTATCTGTCTCTGCAGAGCCACCAGTGACTATGCTGCGCTTGCCCCAGGACTTGGGAATCCCTGAGACGGGCTCAGCTACCTTTGAGTGCGAGCTGTCCCGACCCCTGGCTGAGGCAAAGTGGTACAAGGTGAGGGTGCTACCTCTAGCATTGTCCCCCCTTCCTTGAGCTGCTCTATACCTCCAAGAACAGGGCTCTCCTGAAAAACTGACTTATTCAAGGGAACATTCTTGATTAATATGACCTGGTCCATCTCTCCCCTCTGTGTTCTCAGTACACCCGAGAGCTGCCCTTAGTCCTTTCTCCACCCCTGCCTTGCTCAGCTCTAAAGCAGACCCTCTGCTCTCTGTCTTCTTAATTCTCATAGGATGGCAAGGAGATCCAGGTGGGCCCCAACTGCCGCGTATATTCAGTGGGGCGTCGGCGTCTCCTGCAGCTCAGCCACTGCAGCCTTGAAGATGCCGGCGAATATATGTGTGATGCTGGTGACTGCCGTGCTTCTGCCAAACTGAGGGTCTTTGGTATGGAAGGCTTGGGCTGGGTATGAGAGCAGAAATGGGGGCCAAGGCTTGGGATGGTGCTCCCTGTACAAAGCACCCTCCCTATCATGTTCTGGATGAGGGTAAGGCCCCTTTCCCTTTCCGCCTCCCTGATTTTTGCCTCTGGTGGCCTGGAGCAGGCTGGTTATCATCCAATGTACAGTGTGCTATAGTGAGTCGGAATCTTCTTTAGACTTGCGAGGCTCATACAGAAAGCTAGACTTCATTTTTAATCGACCAAACTATAAGAGCATTTCAGCAGCAGGCCCATGGAGACAATCTTAACAATGAACATTTGGTAGTCTTTAGTCAAGAGTTGTTTTTTTTTCCAAGTATAGGATACCTGTCTTAGGATAGGAGACTAAGACTAAAGCTAATTGACACAAAAACTCTTCCAGGTTTGTGAAGAAAGCAGGCTGTGGGGAAAGGCTTAAGATGGAAAAAAAAATAGAGCTTATAGGCTGCTCCAATAAGAATAAATTCTGAGCGGTGTACAATTCCCTCTTTGTAAGTCAGGATGAAAACTTGCAGAAGACAATATACTGTCTGATGACATAATCAATATTCAGAAACCATTCAGCCTCTCAGTCTAAACTGAAGGAAGGCTCAACCTTGACTTTTTAATTCCGGAGCTTGCCTTGTGAGTCAGAAAGCCATAACACAATTCCACAACTGAAATGAGGACTACCATTTAGTTGGAGTACTTTCTTGAATCACTCCAGCTGATTCTTGAAACCCCATGCCTTTGAGTTTTTGAAATTAAATGCCACAGATCTTGCTAGGCAAGGTAACAGCTGGGGATCAACCCTTACATACTTCACAGGACTCTGTGAATTGTACTTCTGTGACGGGGAAGGGGAAGACTGACTAGCAAACTCTGAACTTTTCAACCTATTTCACCAATCTACAATTCCAAGCATAGTACAGAAGAAATTACAGTTGTATGGATTTAAAACCAATATGTTTTTAGTGCAGATTTTGCCTACCATGTTTAGGCTGCAAAAACTGGAACAAGTACCTGGTAGCAAAAAGGTACAGGAAATACAAACTCTTTGCTTTCATTTAGTAGTTGTGTAATTTTTGAACTCCAGATATGGTAGCCCTAATGTAGATATTCTAGAGTTCTGTGAGAACTTGATGGGGCTCTGGGAGAGACTAAGGGGGAAAATGTTCATATGACACAGCCAATTTTCTGTCACCAGAGCTTTGTCTCTTTATCAGGGCTTCTGTTGTTGTTGTTTCTTTAATTAGTAGGTTCCACAGTCTGAAAAAGTTTGAAAACACCCACCCTACAACACTCCCAACGTATTGGATTAGGGCTACCAGATCTGGAGGGGAGTTAGTAGAAAATGATACTGATCGGTAATACTTTGACAACATGCTCCAACTTTCACCAGATATGTTGAGTCTACAACTCCCAGGATTCCAAGCCACATAGTTCAATAACGTTGCCTCGGAATTGTGGGAGTTGCAGTCCCAGTACCTCCAAAATAAGGAAAGATTGTTTTAATTTACTCATTCATTTGGACTCCTATGTCTGATAGAGATGGGAGCCCAATGAATGCTCAAGTGGGTTTTTAAAGGAGTTACGTAATCCATGGTTACTAACCCAGTCACTAGGTAGCATTTCCATGTATATGCCTGAAATGGAGAACTTCATGACAAATAAAAAGGAACACTGCTTCCTGGAAACATCTGCCTGGCCATTCTTGGAAACAGGCTATGAAATAATGTTTACATAGAGTACTGTTTCTCAACCTTGGCAGCTTTCAGATGGATGGACTTTAACTCCCAT